GTGATGTAACTGGAAATTTGCCCAGACATCATGAGCATCTTAGTCAGCATCCCAATATTCAAACTGGGAAGCAGCCTTTTGAATACAGTGGAAAAGGGAAATCCTCCAACAGAGAGTCTATAATATTTACACATAAAAAGATTCATATGGATGAGACCACCAATAAGTATAACAAATATGAGAAAGTGTGTGGTAACTCAGCTGTCATTGCCCAAGTAAGAAATCAGGTAGAAAGGAAAACTTTTCAATGTGGTATATGTGGGAAAATGTTATATAAAAAATCTGAACTCACTAAACATCAGATTATGCACTCAGGAGAGAAGCACTATAAATATACTGAATGTGAGCAATCTTTTATTAAGAAATTACACCTTATCTCTCATCAGAAAACACCTATGCAGGAGAAACTTAATGGTTGTAGTGAAGATGAGAAAATTTTTTGTCAGAGGTCAGACCTTACAATGCATCAGAGTATTTACACAGGAGAAATCTACTATGGAAGTATTAACTGTGGAAAAAGCTTCCATGAGAATTCACTTCTCAGCCATCCTGAGAGATATCACATACTGTATGGACAAAACAAATGTAGAAAATTTTTTGACCATGAGTCTGCCATCACTGTATATCAAAGAATTCACATAAGTGAGAAAGCATGTAAAGAATATAAAAAAACTTTGTACAGTAATAAATGTGGTAAAACCTTTCATCAAAAGTCACACCACAACAGCCATAAGAGAATTCACACTGGTGAGAAACCATGTGAATGTAAAGAATGTAGGAAAGCTTTCCTCTATAAGTCTGTCCATATTTTACATCAGAGATCTCAAACAGGTGAGAATCTACATGAATGTAAAGAATTTGGAAGAGATTTTAACCAAAAGTCTCATCTCAGCAGCCATCAGAGAATTCACACAGGTGAGAAACCATATGAATGTAAAGACTGTGGAAAAACTTTTCACTGGAAGTCACTCCTCAGCAGCCATCAGATAACTCACAGAGGTGAGAAACCATATGAATGTAAAGAATGTGGAAAAGCTTTTAACCAAAA